TATTTTAACATAAAAATAATTATTCCGAATAAAAAAAAACTTGATGTATGAAATTTAAATGAAAACGTATTTTTTTCATTCTATCGCTACATTTGCATTGCCAAAGAAATACAATGTATTTGAAAAAGGAAAAAGTAATTTTTTTTTCTGTCCCAGATGAAGGCAGAATAACGCTTCTCTACATTTTCCCCGGAGACTATGATCTTAAAAACTGACCGGTTACTACTTTGTAGCATTTCATTCTTAAAAAGAATATATGATTTATTTTGCTTCTGTGTACGATTCTATGTATAGTATTTTAGGTATTCTATGTAGGTATATTTCACAATGAAATATTATTCATGTGACATTCTTTATGTTCACACTTATACCCGATGTATTTCGTTATCGTTATTGTGGACAATATTAAAACAGATATAGGCTTTAAGTATAAAAAAAAAATTGAAAAAACTCAAACTCTCAAAGGTCCGCCTTTGAATGTTTTTGTATTCTAATTCCTAAATAACAGAAAGTGCGTTCAAACTTACACGTCTAATATTTATTCTTGATCCCTGATACTTGTTAGTTGTTTGTACTCTGTTTTTCATACACGGCGCATAATATGTCATAATATTACCTCAAACTATTTATTTTAATATTTTTTTATATATTATAAACATAAATTAATGAAGCTCATTGGCAAGGGTGTATCGTAGCCGTTCAAGATAACGCGTTAGGGTAGTTTAGTATGGGCGTCGGTTCTTTGTAACCAACGAATAAGGTCCCAAAACTTGTTTGATTAGCGCTAGTCTCAACTGGTCAAACTGAAATCCATTTCCTAACCCTCTTATAGGGATAATAGAAATTAGAAACATAAGGCGTGGATGAGCAAAAACGTAAATAAAGTATAACCAGGAAGCTCATTTTTGTTGGGATAAAATATGTGTTTAGGTCGACACTACTTTGAGTACTTATATCAATAATAATAAAAACTTGACGTTTTCGATAAACCTGATTTAGTATTTTTTTTTTTAGGCAATAAAATATTAAACCATATGAATCTAACGGGTAACGCCATTAAAAACTGCAATAATTTGAAACAAAACCCTACATTAAATATATGATTTTGGATTTTTTCTCCATTTAACTAGTTTAACATTATGTTAAAATAAAATCATTATTAGTTTTGAGTAAAAATGTTACGCATAATTTATCCAATAATCATATTCTAGAATAGGTATATTATGTAAGAGTAAACCTAATTGACAATGCGCTAATACGGATTTATTAGTTGACTCTTTAAACGATTTTAAGGATAAGTTCACCAAAGCTCGATTTAATGAGCTATACAAATTGAGAGCGTTTTCGAATTGCGTTTTATCTTAAATTTGAACCGGAAATCAATATTTTATTTTGAACTAATTTTTCTGTTGAATAATTTTATCAAATACATGTTACAAAACCCAACTTTTTGCGGTATTGTAACATTGTATTAGCATACGATTATATTTACACAAATGGGGAAGGGGTTTTTTATTTTTGCAGACATTCGAAGTTAATGAGGTGGATTTAGTTTCTCTTTTAATATTTTTAGAGGGTAGTAGTAAACGGCAAGAGAAAAAAATAGTACTGGATGACGGATACAAACAATGAAACATTGCGGTAGTTAATAATTATATAGTATGGCGTTTTACATTTTCCAGCTCGAATCGTAGTCGGCCACAGCAGTGTCTCTTTAAACTTTTTTTAAGAGCAACTCAGCAAATATATTATACATCATATACGTCACAGTAGTCGCTAATTATTCGATAATTATTCCACGCCATCAACGACGTTCGTGCAATCGTTATAATGACATAATAACAAGCGCCATGCACATTTTATTGTTGTACTATTATTAATAACATTCTCCCGTCAGACGGATTTCGCGTGCAACTCTGCAGAAAATATATTATAATTTAATCAAAATAAATAGGCCGTAGGCAAATCACACCGTAAAAACTTTTGGATTGCTATTGATCACATTTTTGTCTTTCAACGTCAGAGTTGTGGCTTGTGCGATATTTTTCACTGTTGCGGTTGATCCACTCACAACAGCCGACTACAATGATTTAGTTAGTCGTGACTCGTGAATCAAAGTACTATAACTGTGGATAATCGAGGTCGATATGTCATTTAATATTTATATCTTCAGACCATACAAAAGACGTGTTTCCGAGGAATTATATATTATTATGTACCGTCAAATAAAACCGTGGTATCGTGACAGTCCAACAAGGACAAATAAATAAGAATTCTTAGGGAAGAATAGATTTTAGCACTATTAGTAATCTGAATTAACTGCATAATATTATCTATTAACGCCAAGTGAGCACACATACACACGCACGTGCTTAATTGATTTAATATAACCAGTAAATGACCATCAAAATATAAATAACATTCGAATTCGCAGTATCACACAAGGTCGTTATAATAATCTAAAGTTAAATTATTTGATTCGTGATATAATAGTGAATTATTGAATTTGACGTCTTCAATAGTGTAAATAGATCCTAAGAAAAGAAAACCAGCAGAACTCGTTTATGAAAGGCATACAAATTTGAACTACCCTTAATTGAAAACGTTGTAGGGATGCCTACTTGCACATTATACAATTATTTGATATTTATTTTATAATCAAAATATTGATATATTTATATTTCTTTTTTTTTTCGTATTTTAAAACAGGGTCAATTGTTGTCAATATTTTTTCTAATAATTCTCAAACCTTTTAAAAATGTTTAAATTGTACAACACTTTTTTGAACTCAACTAAATAAAACAAAAATTGAAAATTTTGTCTATAAAAAAAATCATTAAATTGCCTCATTGGTTTACAAATAACCCTACAAGTTTTACGCGAATATTAATTGGCATTATATTAGCTCGAATATGTTTAGATTTTTATTACCGTTTAAGGGTTATTGCGAGGGTAAAATATACTTTTAAGAACTTCTTATCGATAGGAAGTTGTGAGGTAAGTTAGAATGGTCGATTCAAAGACATTGAGAACCCTTGATTGGCAATACAATACTAATAGTGAGTGAATGACCTAGTTTACTCAGTACAACGAACCAATTTAAGGAACCCAATAAATGTTTCGTGATTTTCAGAAGAAAACTAAATAGTTAATACTAAACTTTAGATGGGCGGACTTGATAGAACACAGCACCACTATTAATTTTTATGAGGAAAAGGGTTTTGTCTAAAAACACGTTAATGGTGATGAAATATATTAAATTTAGAATATTTGTATTATTCTAAAGTTAAGCGAATTTCCAACGAAAAAGTTTAAACAAAGATGAGTTTGAAAAAAATGATAATTGTACATCACCTCTCTTTTATTTTGTTTTCTAAGAACAATATTTTCGAAAATCGCTTAAGTCAATACCAAAGTAGACAATTATTCCAGTAACTTTAACTGGTATTGAAACTGTTGTACACAATTATTGCGTTAATGCTTTCCCAGAAACGTTGAAATACCGAGACATGTTTTTGCAAAACAATTAATTTAGTAAGTACAAATGTAGGATTTGGGGGAAAATATTTAATTCACAACAGAGATTTATATTTGTTTTTTTAACAGCAGACGAGTATTTATCTCTTAAAAAAAATGTAGAAAATACATTATACGAGTTATAAAAATTAATTTTATAACTTAATAAATTATTTTAATGTAAATTCATAAGATAACCGAAATTTAATTATTAATTGAATATTATAATTATAATATATATGTTTTATACAGAGGACTCGTCCGTTATTTTAAATATAAAACTAGATATTATTTCTTTAACTGTCCTATTTTATTTTGTAGTTGGCCTTAAGTTCGAAAATTGTGTATACATGTAAAACTATACACCGTACTACTGTTTTATTAATGAATATATATTTATTTAATTTGAAAAAGTTCTATCATAGTAGTTTATTTTAATTTCAAAATCTTATATAAGATATGAATAGGAAATAAGAATCTCTACCCACAGACTCTATTTCGTTTAATCTGTATTCAAGCCGCACACAGGACTAACCGTTATACGATTTTTAGTTTCGTAGCAGTTGTTGTTAATACATAATTGTCTCAGGCAATCTTCTAGCTCGTCGTTAACTATAATTGGCTTAATCGAGAACCAATTGGTATTGATCATAAGGGTTGAGACCCTTTAGCCGCAGAAGAAAATCTTACGGATTTACCGGTCTCCATTAAATGAAAGGCCAAATGGATCCTGAGGTCGTAAGTCCCGAAATCTAGAAGATTCCTTGAATTTCTCCATGACTATTGTCGCCCTAGACCGCAGTCAATGTCGGCATACCCCGAGTTAAATGTATTTCCCGATTTACAAGGTATGCGACCAGGGGGTAACTTTGTAGGTAGAGACCGGAATTATATAATTATTCATTTGCGTGTTTGTGCACTGTTAGAGGTGTTCGAGTTATCAGCTTTTCGCATTAACCTTTGTCTATACACCCAATATTATTTTGCATATTATTCCCATTAAGAGGGCTAAACCATAACAGCTGTTTGTTTATTGCAAATAATAATATGAATAATATTAGCACGTGTTTTTCATAAATTAACAACATTAATCTTACGAGGTTTTAATTTATCTTAGGGGGGAAAATGTAGGTATTATTTTGGTGACAAATTTGGTAATAAAACGAAAAAAAAAAATTACTTTAATTTTTAAAACAAGTCACGCCAATGGCGCTTTCACATTCTCGACGATTTCAACGACATATTATCACATTGTTGCCAATTTAAAATCATTATATGTCACCATTCAGGCGTGTTTTGCATTTGAGTGCGTTATAGAGCACCAAGACTTGTCATATTTTACTATTTAACACATTTTTAACGCGCATAATTACTGGGACTCTTATTCTAATCAAATCGTATTTTTTTTTGCGCTTCAATAAACCAAATATAGACTATATTATTGTTTATGTTGCTAATACAATATTATTGTGGAATTCTCTCACCTCGACGTTGCGGTTAACGGCCAAGTTCGACATACCGGCGCGTAAGCTTGAGTTGACCGACAGCAGACAGCCGCCACATCCTTCGGAACGCGGTACACACGTGACTGTTTGCCGGTGACCGCGACCTCCTGGCCAAAAGCCGGGGAAAATATTTCCACCTAGCGCGCATGGCACCGTCGAAATGTCCGTCCCAACCGTCGCAGCAGTAACCGTCGTTATCTTTGTCGGCGTTGATATTTTCTGAAAGGCAACAATAATAACACCTAATTATAATAACGCAATGTGTATATATATATAATAATAGATTATTATCATACGAAGGCAAAGCTTACCTATACCCGATCACGTCGCCATCGACCATTCGCCGGTCTAAGCCGATAAACCCTTTCAACGCTACATTCTAACAAATCCCATTGCGTCGCGTTGGCCTGGGTCTGTATTTTACTAAATAATATTTACCTTATCTTTGGTATTTTCCAGAGCTCGCTATCGACTTTTGCAATTCAAAATGGTATCCTGGTATATTTCATATTTAACAAACTTTTAAAAATTAAAAATAATTTGCTGAAAATTTCGACTGATCGATGAACAGTTTTGGTAAATTACTTTAATGTTGTTAGAGTTTAAAGTTTAGGACGGGAAGAAGGCTGTAGTGGAGTATTATTTTTATCCGCAAGCGTTAACTCAATCGCGCTCTACACTTCGCCTAAATTTTAAACTTTAGTAACTTTCAAAGTAATTATCCAAAACTGGTTATCGAACAGTCAAAATGTTCAGCAAATTTTTCTTAATTTAAAAAGTTAGTTAGTTAAATACAAACGTTTTCATTTAATTTTCAAAAGATGATAGAGCTCTGTGTTCGGTCATTTTATAATAATGTAAAATATTAAATAACATAACTAAAAATGTTTTCCAAAAGAAAAACTATAAAATTCTTATTAAAAGGCATTTAAAATTTGGCACATAACTTTTTTAAGTAAAAACATTTAAAAGTGTTTAAAAAAATAAATGGTGTGTAAAAAACGGCACTTATTATACAAAGCAGATAATGTTATTAGTAAAAAATACCTTAACGTTGGAGCAATGCCAAAAACTAATATATCCTAAAAGCAAAAACTCATTTCTATTAAACATAAATCATGGCCAAAATTTCACTTTGATCTTAATCACTTTATATATTTTTTAGTTTCGTTTTATTTAACTACAAATTATAATAATACGTACGAACTTCACCAGTGCTTGATACTATTTTTTTTTAAACTAGTATTAACTGTACATTTTTTAAAACCATGAAGTTTCTTAAAAAATGTTATTTTATACTTAATTAAGATTATTAAATAATTTAAATTCATGAACTATACCCAAGTAATTTTTTAGTTTTGCTATGTTAGCTTATTAACTTAATATTTTAAAATAAAAACAATAGCTGTTTATTGTGTGTCACTAAGTTACATTTTTCAAAATTGTAGTTGAACGTTTTTTAGAGATTGTAATTTATATTTATTTATAGGAAAGTAAACCGTATTATAAGTTATCATCCAAAATGTCACACAAACTATATTCTATACAGTTAGTGTGGTCATGCGTTTGACTACTAACAAATAAAGTTTAGGACATTATTGCGATTTTGTAGATGACTCAACAGTAGTATCCGAATTGTTGCTTTTGAAAAATTCGCCGTCAGAGTACTATTATAGAGACGTTTGTGTGGTGTTTGTAGGATGGACGTGCCCATTGTTAGGAAAATAGACAACTGAACAAAAACCCACTTGAGAAATATGGTGTGAACGTAAAGTGTTTTTCTCTACACGTTTATTGTATCTCAAAGCTCTTGGAAACCGCATTGTAGCTATATGTCTAACCGCAGAATTAGATGTAGTGAAAGTTAATATGTGACACTGAAGTATATTGAAACATTTTAAACTTCTATCAAAAAAATATTGTATTCGACTTTTATGCTTATTTGAATTAGAAATAAAAGACCACAGAGTCAATGTGTGTTGTGAACATATTATTTATAAATTCTAGCGGCGAGATACAAAATATATTTATACATTTGAAGGTATAATGTTCTCATAAAGGAAATAGATAGTTTTTAAACACATACTAATTAGTCATAGAATTCAATCACAAACGCTACTAATGTAAAAAAAAAAATACTACAGTAGAAGCGATGCGATGGTTCTATACTGTTTAGTGCACTTCCTTCTTTCTTTACATTAATTTAAATTGCCCTGAAACAACTTTAATGGTCTTGACAGTTAGCGCAAGATACACTTACCCAACCGACAAAAAATAATTTTTGCTAAACAACGCCACATTTTTTTGATTAAGTAGACATTATAATTAAAACCTGAATCTAAATAATTAAAATATATGCTTTTTTTTGTTTACTGTTTCTGAAGATCCTTAAAACAATTTAATTACTTAAAATCGGTCGAGTATAATGTTTCAGAATTAAATTGGAAATTAATAATTATACATAAATATAGTTACAAAAATATGTATACCTAATATAAATTACACCTAAGCACATAACCCTCTTGAGCTTTAAGGAAAAATATTACTAAATCCTACTAATCGCGCCCATTACAAAAACCAAATTCAATTTCATAATTTGAACTATTTAAGTTATTTGAACGTGATTTATCAGAAGTGAATCTGTCCACATGTAACTTGAACCAATTCAAATTAGATAAAAGTTAATTCGTTATTATAAATCTTAATGTATTAACTGTATTTCTACATACATTATTACATTGTAAGAAACCAGGTTAGATGACTGGCGTTATTTTGGTTATATTTTGACTTTAGTCCTATTCAGAACTCCTCTTAACTCATTTTTCATAATTTCATGGACTAATTTCTTTTGATTAATGCCTTCAATTTATTACTAATAAAAAAAATCAGCTCACTACAGTCGGTGCATAGTGGGTACCGGCATTGTGAGGTCAGTGTAGTCACAGGACAGTATGAATTATTATAATTTATAACTGAAAGTAAAGAAATCATTCTCAAATAAATCATTGTAAAGTCCATAATGTACTAAACATTGTTTTTTCAGTATTAGGAAGGAAACTATTAGTGTTGGTCGTCTGTCTATAATAATATCATTGTTGTTGTTACTCATATATTATCTTATATGTTAAAAATATAATGAAGAGATTTTTCTAATACCTGTTAACTATATTAATTCATTCACACGTTCACCTGGAAATTTAACAAGGTCAATGTGTGCCTGTTATCTCGAGTAAACCAACATAAAAACATTATATACTTGATGCCGAAACATGATTTACTATTGTAATTTGAGATGTTTATACGTGGCACACCACCACCAACATCACCGATACACAACCGGTAGCTGTTCATCCCTAACATACAAAATATCAATCTTCCCATACGGATATAATAGCTGACGGCCTCTGTTTTCACTATGTATTATATTCATAAATCAACATTATGTTACGTCAGCGAACGGTGATTAAAATTGTTTAATACTGCGTTATAATGATTTATTAATATGCTCCATAGAACCAACATTATTACACTAACAAATTTAAACTAAATTTGTAATTCAATTTATCGGCTACTACATTAAATACACATAGAGGCACGGTATCACATTTATAGTAGTAACATATATATAAGTTTATTATTCTCTATAAAATTAAGATGTTATATTCGTAATACCGAAAAAAAATATTTGTTTAAACATAAACTGCGTTGATTAATTATTATTGGTTTATTATGTAAACTATAAATAAAAACTCTCGTGCAGCGTGCACGACAAAACCCTAAAAAAAAACTAATAAAAATTCAAAATATTGACCAAATTTAAATAATTTATAAAGTTGCATGCATGCTTGATTAAATACAACAAATGGACTGAGACATTATTTTATAATATGAGGTTCAACAGTCTAAGAACGAATTACTTAAATTTGTTCTAAAAGAAATATCAGATGTATAATTTTTAAAAATTATACATCTGTATATTTTTGCTTCCAACACTGCAAAAATGATATAATAATAGTATTGTAATCAATGCGATATAATAGACAACAGAAAATGTATTTATTTTTAATTTTTTATCTGCTATGGCCAAAACTAAACTTAATCTCATATCATTATTGGTATGAGATTAAGCAAAACACTGTTAAGAAATTTTTTGAAAAAGATAGTAACGAGACTTATATTTTTTTCGGGAAAATTGTCTATTGGCTGTTTTTTTACGAGCAAGCCAAGTTCCAGGTACATGTTTTGATGATCGGCTCTTAGACTGATTTATAAATAATGCAGAGGATTAAACATACTCTCTAAAAATAATCTATAAAAAAAGATTAAGCGTTATGTTCGATGTATGCAAAATTATAAAATATAGTACACAAAACAAGTCTTAAGCAATACAAATAAATATGGTAAAAGTTTGCTAATACAGTCACGTCGCGTTGTGTACTGGAAGAGGGTTAAGTACCTAACCCTTTTAATGCAATTTATTCTTCTTAGGATTGGGAAGTCACAACTCTCTTGGGCTTAAAATATATTGCGGCTACCATAAATCGCGACGAAGCTTTTTCTTAATGTTAACAGATAAGCCTATTGGGAAATAGGTCACATGTGTAATTTAGTAGTAAATATTATGATGCCTTATTTTTGAGATGAAATGATATTTTTCTGCGACGATACAATTTTGTCTGTATCCTTTACTGATGTAAGACCGGATAAAAGTCTTTATCCTAATACAAGTCAAAATACCAACGTCCACTAGTTTGACACATGACAATGTTGTTAATCAAAATAGACATTTCTTCCCGTGGGATTAAAAATATCCCTTCATATAGTGTATTTGATTAAAAACCCACTGTATCAGTTTATCTTGGTATGATATCGTAATTAATCATCTTATTTACTGTAGCTGAGCTTTTAAAATTAACATTTTGAAACATTGGACTTATTTGATAAAAACTATAGCAATAGGACTTATTATCCATTTATTTATATATAAAAAATAAACATATAATTTTCAATATTAGACAATATCTAGGTTGTGAAAAGATAAGTAGGAATTTTAAACAAAATTATAAAAGAATCCATTTAAAAAAT